TTGTAAGCCGCCCTGAGTCCCCTCAGGGAAAAGGGCGGCCCATAAATAAATTTATCTATCTATCTATCTATCAGCTGGAACTCAGGAGGCAGAGAATAGATTGGGGCGGGGCCAGTCAGAGGGTATTTACAGGTTCTCTGAACTACTCAAAATTTCCACTACCGGTTCTCCAGAACTGGTCAGAACCAGCTGAATACTATCTCTGTTTGGGACTCTCACTAAATTCCTTTATTCAAAACCGAGAGACAACCACTTGTTAGAAAACAAAAGAGATAATGTTCATAAAACAAATAGGATTGCAGTAGTGGGATGTGATAGGAGGCATAGTGAAACTGGACGGCAGTATATTTTAAGAAGAACATCTCATTTTCAACCCAATTTGTAGTTTTGACTATACTAGGTTTTGATAAAAGAGCTATTGTGGCAGCACCTCTGCCCCTAGTAATGCCATTAAGACAGGACTTCAAGTGGGATGTGAAGGTCCCAAATAACACATTTCGAAGTAAATAAATTCACATTTACCATTCAATAAAGACACCCCAAATGGGACGCAGTGGGTCAGTGGCTAAGACATTGAGTTTGTCAATTAGAAAGGTCAGCAGTTCGGTGGTTCAAATCCCTAGAGCCGCATAAGAGTGAGTTCCCATTACTTGTCCCAGCTTTTGCCAACCTAGCACTCTGAAAGCATGTAAAAATGCAAGTAGAAAAATAGGGACGTTCTGTGCACCTTTGGTGTTTAGTCATGCTGGCCACATGACCACGGAGACGTCTTCGGACAGCACTGCCTCTTTGACTTTGAAATGGAGATGAGCACTGCCCCCTAGAGTCAGGAATGACTAGCACACATATGTGCGAGGGGAAACTTTACCTTTAAAGACACCCCTTCCCTCCCTTGCCACCCCCCTCCTTTCCAAAATCATCAGATGATCAGGAGAAACTTTTCAAGCTAGGGAGACAAATATTATCAGCAAGAAATCTAAAAGCCACTAAAAATGCAGGATTATATGGTAGCGATGAGACAAAAGTGTTTCATTTACTAGTGTCTTTAGGGGAGATAACCTTGCTGAATAAAAACATGACAAAAATAAGTGTTTGAAAACACCTTGAAGGAAGGACTTGAATACTGCAATTGTGTCCAAGATCTCTGGGACTAAATGTCCCTGTTGGTGATATGATGTGATTTAAACAGAAGAAGAAAAGCTTTAAAAATGCCACATAGGCTACATTTCTTAAAGTAAAGTTTAGGACATCTAACAGGAAGAAAAATGAGGTCGTATATACTACAAAATCTGAGATAAAACACAATGGAGTTCCACATTAATCATTATTATTTTATCCAACAAAAGTTGTCCACAAACCTCTGCAGTAAAATGATTATTATTTTTTAGGGCTGGCAGTATTCTGGATTTGAAGGAGAAAATGTGAGAGGACCTGGGTTTGCTTAAGAGCTGTAGTGGCACAGTGTTTAGAATACAGTATGGCAGGCTAATTCTGCTGACTGAGCTGCTAGAGTTTGGCAGTTCGATTCTCACTGGTTCAAGGCTGATTCAGCCTTACATCCTTCCAAGGTTGGTAAAATGAGGACCCAGATTGCTGGGGGCAACATGCTGACTCTGTAAACTGCTTAGAGAGGGCTGTAAAAGCACTGTGAAGCGGTATATAAGTCTAAGTGCTATTGCTGTTGCTATTATAGCACCTATTGGGAATATCTTTCAAATTTGCATCTCCAATTATTATTTTTTTATTGAAAAAAGGATGCTTTTAAACCTCACAGATTTGAAGGATGCTTCAAATGAATACACAGCTAGGGCAATGGGGTGGAAGGATTGTCCAAACTATTCTTCATTTTCCCAAATTACAAATTTCTTTCCAAGTATTTGGTTTTAAAGTCCAAAACCTTTTGGGTCGCATTAAACATTGAACACTGAACATGAGATATGGCCATTGAACATGAGATATGGAATCATAATTCATTACCAATCTTTTCCCCAAAGATTCCCCAAAAGGTGGACTGTGTGATTCCCAGGAGAGGAAATTTGTAAGAGAAATGTGCTCAATTTGTATTTTTT